GGAAAACTGTCGTCCGCGGAGGTGAGATCGGCGATCGGATTCGGTCGACGGGTTCGTTTTATGAGTTCCGTGGCTAAACTGTAATTACTATTTAATTTTGTTACTTCGATATTCGCGCATCGAAATGACAGATTCGAACATTCGACGCGACAAATGCATTTCGCGCCAAATCGAGCCGGCAAGGATCTTGAATTTTATTTATACATGTACAGTCTGACCCAGATCGTGCGCAGGTCTATTTTCGAGCTATAAAAGTGTTACGATCGAAATACGGTGACGTCAATCGATAGTCAGCGAATCACACTGCAGTAAAATAATGGCCTCGGCATCGCATGTTTAAAAAAAACATCAACCAAGATTTATTTTATTAGCCGATGCGAGAGTAAACGATTACTCTTTGGCGAGACTTGCGTGTCGCCTTCCCCGATGTTTTCTGATCATCCCACGTGGGAAGAGAAAGAAGTAAACACACTAACAATTAACGCGAGATTAAAGAGAAAAAAAAAATCCGACGCCTCTGGTGTCGACGGGTAAATCGATACACCTCTCGATAGTCGCGCGTTACACGCCTCGCCTTGGCGTATCTCTATAAGGATGTTGCGCGCTAATTTCCTCGTAGTCTGGCGCGCTTGAATCCATTAATTCAGATTGTTGCGTAATACCCACGTCGAATAACTTTCCGCGATACTTTTTGTCGTCGAAATAAAAATGACGTGCAATTTCACCTTATCCGTCGCTATGGGAAAGTGACTTTTCAATTTCATCATATCGCTTTGTCATCCTCCGCGAAGCCTCGATTCATATAGACTTTTCTAGTGGGAACTGTAACGGATTCTAAATAATTCATAGCTCTCTGAAAAAAGAGGCCGAACACTGATCCGCGTGCTCGCGCACGCCTCGCCGTAAGAAAAAGCACACAAGTTTCCCTCTTCTCTTTTTTGCGCATAATGCAAAAGCTGGCCATATAATCGCGAGACGCGATCGCCCTGGGAATCGATGACTCAATCGTCGGCTGTATACTCCAAAAAAGACGGAACAGCAACGAGGTCTCATCGCCGCAGCTGCGAAAAAGCGACAGCCGTGTAATCCTCGACTTACGCCATCGATCATACACGCAAGCGAGAGTACCGTACATCGTAGTTTTCGCTTGCTCTTTTTCTTACATTACCTTTTTCTTTTCTTTTGTTGCGCGAAGCCTCGTCGTCGATAATCGATTCGCGAGCTTTTCATTTTCACACGTGACCATTTTCCCACGCGCCTGGCTACCTTTTTCCGCGTGTCTAGTCGCCGAGTCGCCGCCGCGGGCACTTTCGTAAAGCGCGGCTTCTTGTGCAGCGCGGCAGGCGACACACCGCTATCTCGGGTGGAGTTCAGTGCTGATTGCACGGCTGGTAGTAACGATTGATGGCCCTGGGAATGTGACTTAATTGTCGGCAACTATTATGGACAATTCGATTCGTTATAGGCTACCAGTTTTCTCCCCCTCGATATATAATAAATACCATGCCATTTGTTGTTTGTCTCGATCCGCTGCAATGCGTCTCTATTTTCAAATCAGAGATTGAAATCGTTGGTCGACAACTCTGTAATCCACATCTTGAGAAATACACCGAGTAGCTTACCTATGGATCGTCAGTTTCGTTTAGATTGCGTCGACTGCTCATAATCTATCACTTTTCATCTTGCTTGCTTCAATTATTAAAAATTGCGTGATTATACCAGCATATTGCATATCTTTTCATATTTTTCTTCAAGTAACATATATTTTTAAATGGCCATGTCACATACTATCTAAGTTAAGTTCATCGGTTTAATTCAGAGTGCAGATAGCTTTTAGTAAAAATTTAATGAGCGAAACAAGCCTTTTGAAAGATTAATTTCTTACGATCAATGTAAAGAAAAACAATGCCAACGTCGACAATTTATTTTTCTCAACGATATTTAAATAAATCTATATAAAACTGTCAAAATTAAATTTTAGATGATACCTAACAAGTATGCGCTGTTTAATGCGGCTAGCGTAGGACAGAGTGTTATTTTTATTATTTAATATTTTAATAATAATACAATTGTAATAGATTTGTAAATGACGATTTGTCATGGTGATGAGGCACCGGATACGTCTGCTTTTTTTCAATTTTTTTTATTCGCTCATTGCTCACGGATCGTTTGTAGTTTGAATTTGTACCTTCCCATTTACTAATTATTTTGCAAATGAATGAGTATAGTTAGATGTCAGACGAATATTTTAAGCAGTAGCATCGAGCGTTCTATCAAAGATAATCGTGGTATTCACAACTTCAATGTAGGTGGTTCTGTACAAAAAGAAACGAGCCATCCACAATATTTACTGTCTTCGCTTATGAAAAGTGGAATCAACGTAATTTTTAATAATCATTGATGTTAATAACGTCCTTCTTAAAACTTGGCTTGTCGGATTCCGACTCTATTTTACCAACATATTCAAAGCCAAATTATGTATATTAGCCATCAAAGAGATAAACGCGCAACATAACGTTCAGCAGCTCAAATCAATCTTGTTTATCAATTGAATCGAAATAATAAGGCGGCATTAGAAAGATCCATAGTATCACGTAGCGTTGCACAAAACAAGCCAATGGTCCGCCGACAGCAGTAGCAGTAGCGGCGATAATGGCTTCATAAAATGATAATCTCGGGAGGAGGCGCGAAACACGCAACGCGCGCGCTGAGAAAACCGCACGGAAAAGGGGCGCCAGACGGGAAGCGACTGATTGTGCCATTGAACCGGAGGAGTAGCTAGTGCCGCCAAGACATTAAGTACTCCTTTTCTCCCCCCCCCCCCCCCTCTCTCGAACAAGTGGCATTGTTTCTTACGCAGTCGACGTCGAGGACGACCAGTATACCGCTTTTTTGCACATGTTGCCTGCTACGATTATCCGTTTTGTTTACGACTCGAGAATTTAAGGAATTGAAATTTTCCAGATGAACTCGTAAGAGGATGCGGTAACTCTCTCTCTTACTCTTTCTGTTAAATGGGAACTGCCGTATTACGTTATTTTTGCGCTTGACAGCAAAGAAGAATTCATCTCTATTACGTCTTGTTAACAGCAGCGCGACGCATTACACAAAAGTTGGCATTAGTTTTCGAACGATACTACCAATTGCTGTCGCCGCATAGCGTAAACTGTTCTCTTTCTAGAATTTATATCAGTAGGAAGCATCGCATTCTCTCGCGTACAATCGTCCAAAGAGAGCGCGCGCGGAATGGCAATTCATATGCGCGGAGAGAGAGACGATTACTCACTCGGTTGTGAGCCTCTGCTCGAGATATTCCGTCGGCACCTCTCGCCTCGGACTTTGTCGCGCGCGCGCGCGCGCCTACGCTCAAAAACTTACGAAACGAGTCCGGATTCCTCGGGCTTGAGTTCATCGCGCGCAGCTCGCGATTCTCAAACGCACGATATGCGCCTTTGCTTGCGGCTTTCTTCCGCAAAACCTTCCTCTCGCTCATTGCGCCTTCGTCTCTGTAAACCGATACGTGGAGGCGTGCGGGCGTACGCGCGTATAATATTGTCCCCGGGGTGGTGGCGCGACCGTGCAATTACGATGTGATGCTCGCGAAATAACACGGCTGACCACGTTGACGCGCGACAACGTTGTGTTTAGGAAGCTTTCCAAAAGCGGCTTTCGAAGAATAAGAGCGTGAAGCTTCGTGTCGCGAGGTGCTATCGCCTCGATCGTCATCATCGTCAGCGCGCCCCGAAAAATCCTCGTTCTCTTCAAAGGTTTTTCTTTGGATTTTCCTCGAACCTCGAAAATACGACTTTCACTTTTTTCCAAACGTCTGACGAGTTGTAGTCCGTGCTATTAATGCACCTATGCAGTCTGCATCAAAGTTTATTACGTGCTGGGATTTAAAGTTGACCGACCAACCAGTCATGTGCCAATATTGCAAAAGCGCGCGAGATGGGAAAAAGTAGCCGCGGTTGCACGTCGTCCTTGCGATAAAGCCACTCCTTACGTCCACTCTCTTCCTCGAGTGTTCACGTAAGTCGTCTCGTGGTGGCACGTCTACTTCTTTTTTTTAATTTTTTTTATTCGTATACGCACATGAGAAACGCGCGTCGAGGGGTAATTTTGCTTTCACGCTTTGGGGCGAGTATCGCGAATACGCATCCGAGTGCGGAAGAGAACTTCGGCCTTTTCTCATCGCAAGCGTATGTGCGGGTGTTGCACTGAGTTACGCAGAGACGTAGAGAAATATCGCTTGGACGTGTGTTTTGAGTTGCGCGCGTACGCGGCGTCAATTCAAATAATTTCACTGTAAGATGGAATATTTTGTCCCTCAGGTGGTTCTAAGATGGCTCGATTCTTGCAATCTTCGAAATAACTGCCTTCATAAAATAAATGAAATGTTTTCCTCTCGCTAACTCATCGTTCGTATTTGAACCACTCTATTACATAAATTATCAGGTTCTGTTCCTTTTTGTGTAGATTGCAGGTCAAACTGGAGTAAATACACGCGAAGATTATTACAACTAACAGCTCGCGATAATCCAGTGAAAATTCGAGAAAAAGCCATAAAAATGTAGAGTTTCCAATTCTAAGTCTGACTTTTACCATTTTGAGATAGACTTTCCCTACTTTAGTTATGCATTTCCTCTCACATTTAAAGCACAACTCACGGACACGTGCAAAGGAAATAATAAATTACCTTTCTTTTTGAAGACAGAAATAGCGGGTAATTTTCAGCAATTATTCTCGAAATGACATTATGCACCGGCTGGCTCTCGGATTACGCATTGATAAAGTTTTCAGGTTGAATAATCCACACGCAATCGGTATGTGCGATAATCGCGCCACGGAAGCTTAATGAATAATTAATCGGCTCTCATAAAACAAACAGCAGCATGTTACAACTATCTCTTCCCTCCCCTCTCCCTTGGTTTTGAGAATTTTACACTGGCAAACGAGTATAATCCTTACTTATATATCGGTTTTTTTTGTTTCTGTTGCAGGTACGCAAATATAACATACACTTCTTCGATCACGCGATCTCTCTCTCTCTCTCTCTCTCTCGCAATGTTGAGATATTTGACGGTGAGTAAGGAAAAACGAAAAGAATCTAGCGCCATGCGAAATCGATCGATCGATTTCCACGCGGTCTAATTTTTTTTTCCACTCGTTTCTGTCCATCTGCGCGCTTGCTGCGGCCGACAGCCTCTCATTTTCAATCTGGACGCTCTCTCCCCTTTCAAAAGAGAGAAAGGTCGTCTCAAGGTCGGACATCTCACGCAGCCTTCGCAAAAAGATCCCCTTCGGATACCTGCACGCGCGTGCGCGCGCGTCGATCTCTATAAGAGACGGCGGACGGATAGCCAAAGATACGGAAGAGAAGAAAGACCGCAGGCGACATTTTGGTTTTACATCTGGAGCAAGATTGGTGGGACTTTTGTTAAATGGGATCCGGTTCGATCTTTCTTTCTTTCGAGGGGCCGGTTGCGTTTTTGTCGTGATGGGAGCTGATAATTATGCAAAGTACACTCAGTTAACGTAAGGCTTATTTTGAAACAACGATCTCGTTCCGATAAAAGTTTTCTCTGTTAATACAATCGATAGGTGACTGCTCCTGTAAATTAATAATAAATTGACTCATTTATGAATGAATACTCATATGATGATATCGAGATAAAATCAAATTTGACTTGAATCTTTTCAATATTGCTCGGCCATTTATTCGATTCACACTTGATTATTGTTAATTGTTAAGATATCAATAAAAATGTACGTTGCTATGTTATTTAGTTGCAACTTGTTTTGTAAGCCAGCTGAATTTAAAGAATTAATACACTCATGCAAAATGCAGACCTCGTATTTTTCATGTACATACTATCTTATAGCGCCATCTACAATCACACTTATGGATAACCCAATCGTATCACAGTCATTAAGTTGCCTGACCTCAACCAGTCTATATCGTGGATTAACATGTACAAGTCGCAAAAAATATATGTGTGTGTATCTTCGTCGTAAATTCTTACAGCCTTAATTCCTCGGCATCGGCAAACAGGAAGAGGCATAATCCCAGATTTACTTCTCTTCTAAACTCCAGGTTCCGGCTGCAAGCTGCAGTTGACTTCGGGCTCGTTCGCCTGCGCACCGCTCCAAAACAAACACGAGAAGAGCGAGAGGCAGGGGCAGGGTAATAAATACATCGCGGGGAATTTTACTCGCGGAATTTGTCAGCGCCAAAATAAAATGAAAACGAGAAAAAGAAAAAGAAGAAGAAGAAGAAGAAGAAGAAGAAGAAGAAGTCGCGATCGCTTGGAGGCGATAACAAAACGTTGCGTGCACGCACTGCGTCGCGGCCTTGAACTCACGTCCGCGCAACCCTTGAACTTGCATCGCGCGCAAGGATGCAATAACGCTTTAACGACGCGATGCGGCAAAAGACAAAATGTTGTAGGTAAAACGCCCCGGCGACGTTTAGCCGGGCGAGAGGATGCTCGTTGGGAGCGCGACTGCCGATTGGCGACTACCGCAGCGCGGATAAGTGCATCGGTGTTTGCATTACGGCAGCCTGCGCAATTAATCAAAGTAGAAATTGCAGTTCTATTCGGGCAGGCATTACGCGCGTAAAAGTCGAGCCTCCCGCGCGCCGATTATGCGTGCTGCGGCGCTCTGTGTGTGCGTGCGCGCGGTAAGGGCCGAGCCGCCGCCCATACTTGTTTCGCCGCGCGATGATACCCAACGGAGAGAGAAACTCGCAGAGGAGGTTATTAACTGCACTGGAGGTCCCGCCGAGTATAGTTGCTTGTGTACCGCCGCCGCTGCCGCTGTTATCATCCTTTGATCGACAGGGATAAATCGCGTGATCCTATTGCTTTTACTCTTTGCGCGAAAAAATACTTTCTGTTGCGGGAAATCACTCATTGTATCATTACGCTACAAAGTTAAAGTTAGTAATTTCGTTTTCTACGAATGGACGTTTTAGAAAGTAAAAGCTTCACGGAAACGAAGGGGGAGAGGGAGAGATGATGATTGATTTCCGCGATTTAAATATTATTTTAAAAATAGTTGACGCTGTTTTCGACGGCTTTTACTTTCCGTAGCTTAGCATTTCCTGTCTCGGCGCGAGGTGCGAAGCGATTTTCATACAATCAATGCCTCTTGCTGATCGTAAAGAAAACAATAAATGACTGTTGGGAAAAAATGACTTGTCGAGAAAATATGCTGAAATGCAAAGTAATATCACTTATTTATTTTTGTTTTTAACGAGAGACATGGGCTGTAGAAATTAGGTGTTTACGACTGCTTCAAAAAACGTATTTTTCTTTTCAACTCGAGCGTCGTAAGTCACTCCCCTTTCGGCATTACGAAAGTGCCCACTAGGAAATTCAAGTACATAAATCCGCTACTGAAAGGCTCTCACAGAGGCAAAGTTCGTAACCTCAAGACCTTATTTACAGACGACTTTAGTACGAATACGCGAAGGTCAAAGTTGAATCCCTGGCGCGCGCATGGGCTTTATATCTCGGGTAGGCATGTCATCATGTCGGGATAAGCGCGCACTTAGCTTTCATGAGCTTAACTCATAAAATCAATTAGCCGCGCGCTACAGCTGATTGAAAATACACCGGATCCCGATAAACCTTTAACCCTGCCGATTTACGAGAAATATATAATCTTTGGACGTCGATAACGAATAGGAGAAAAAGAAAAGTGAGCGCGAGAGGGAGATTTGCCATAAACACTGGCGGTGCGCCGCCTGCTGTGATAAATCGAGAGGCGCGAGTTTTGAAAAAGTCGCGCAAGGTGCAAATTTGCGCGCGATGGCCTTGCGGCGGGCACGCCGTACACGTGTTTCTCTCGCGCGCCTCATTAATTATTTTCGCGGAAAAGCGCCGTGTTCATTGGAGAGGAGACGCTACGCTCGCGGAATTTATTAGCTGCATTAGGACGAGGCGCATGCGCGGCCCGCGCGCGCTTTCGTTTTTTTTGCTTTTGCTTCAATTTCGCTCGAAATTTCGCGGATTAACTCGTCGTTTATATCAGTCTCGCTTGATAAATTTATATATGCTGGTACGCGCGCCTTCATTATCTTCGTTATTTATTTCGAGTTCATTGATTTTTTGCTTTTCCTTCTTCTTATGCGATTCCATCGACTTGGAATGTGGACGCACAATTCCTTTTATTCCTCGCAATTGAAGTCTTTTTCAAGTTTTCGATTCCCTTGTTATATCTCTGCGAATGGCGCGTTTTTGAATACCCTTTTTGCGTGCAAATAAACCGCCGTGATTTCCGAGTATCGTTAAATAAAGTGCAGAATCGACATTAACACAGCAAAAGGTCGCATATCATTGATACACGTGGATATCGATTAAAATTGAAATTTCGCGAAAGGGACCAAATAATAATAACAATAACAGCGCATAATATAAGGCATCGATACGGGATAAAGCGAAACGAAAGCGAGACGGCCGGCTTCTTTCGTCGGTAAAAATCATTACCTTGAAAATGCATCGTGAGAGAGAGAGAGAGAGAGAGAGAGAGAGAGAGAGAGAGAGAGAGAGAGAGAGAGAGAGAGAGAGAGGAGAGAGAGGAGAGAGAAAACATCTCTTCGCGTGAGTGAGCGTCAGTGTTTGAGAGGGCATTACGCATCGCGCGCGGACAATTATTAATAATGGCCCGTAATTCTCGGCTTCCACGATTATTCGTCGCTTGCTGTTCCTTTCTCTCTCTCTCTCTCTCTCTCTCTCTCTCTCTCTCTCTCTCTCTCTCTCTCTCTCTCTCTCTCTCTCTCTCTCCTCTCTCTCTCTCCTCTCGTCTTACGTTTTCCGCACTCACACGCGCACCGAAATAATGGACGCCAGTGTGTTTAACCATTGCTAACTGACGTGTGTTTCTCTCTCACTTACATATGGCTAATTGCAAGATAGCATATACACCTTCTTTTTTCGGTACGAGTAGTTTGCGTGATGATAATGTGTTTCGACTTCAAACTCCTTCATTGAACATGTTTTGGAAGCGAAGTTTGAAACGTCTGAGAATGTATCGCGTGGAAAGTTACGAGAACGAACACTGGAATTTCATAACACTAATTAAACGATCGACTCGACGACGACAGAACACCTCGTTAAAATGGTAACAGACAAATATCTACGCTTAATGTCAGGTTTCGGATATGCTTCGGATATCGAGTCTCAGCATTTGCATAACTTCGCGAAAACGTAATTCTTACGATTAATAACGAGATCTCGCTTATTTTTGTCCAGGTATAATTTGTCACGCATAACATTATAAGATCGATGAATCTTACAACAGGTCGACGACTGCGAAGAGGCAAACAAAGGCCAACGACCTGAAAGATTTCCAGCGACATATAAAAGCGTATAAGCGATAAGAATGTCGCCCAATTTCCCTGATTAGTCTGTGTACACGGTAGGCTTATACAACAAGACGCCCTTTCATATGTGAACCCTCTCCTTGGTCATCATCGTCATCTTCATTGCTTCCAAGAGTTGCAGTGTTATCGGCTGGTTAAATATATTTTTTGTTGCTGTTTGCTTTACGACGCTTTAGCTACTTTGTCTCCGCACTCTGGCAGCAATTTGACGGATGTTTATTACTATACTTCAACGGGAAATACGCCACAACGGTTTTTATTGCCAATTGTCGATATATTGCTTGAGCCACTTAGATCATATTGTTATTGCTTCTTTGTGTTTCGAGTTTCCATTCAATGTGATAAACCTGGATATTTTATTTCTCGGATTTTTTGTCATTATTTTTTGCTGCTTACACTGAGAGAATTGATATTATAGAATTTGCTATAACCTGTAGTAAAAATTACTGCAAAAACGTAGTAATCGTGGGATACATTCTGACTGTAGTAAAAATTGATACCTGACATAGTAAAATTTTAATGTTGGAAGTTTTACTATGTAACAGAGTAAATTTTACTAGAACCCATAATAATTACTACTGTAAACAGAATACAGGAGATTAGCTCTATAAATTTTACTATGTATATAGTTATTTTTACTTCTTCTGGAAACTAAATTAACATGTTATATTTTGAGATTCGAGTTATACCGTCA